CCCTATAGAAGTGAGTTCTACCCAACTACGATACTACAGTTAACAGATTTTGGATTGAGTAAAATTGTTACAATACTGGGTCTCATGTAGTTCCCAAAATTCAGGTTTACCACAAATTGCCAATCAAACAATCATATTTTCAACCTCTATTAACAATCAGAAGAGGTGTAAATAAAGGTTAACGATCTACCCTTTTAGCAATAAAATCTATGTAGAACTTCACCATCATACCTTAGTAAATTGATAATACCAGTAACACAAAACACTTTCAATAGATTTATTTTAAAAATATAAATGCAAGCATATAGCTCAAATTAAATATTACACAGCACAATAAAGTGATCTAAGTGTAAGTTGCAAGGAGTTAACGAAACCATCCAAATCTCTGTAGTTCAAAAGCCAAAATGTTTCTTAAAGAAGTGAACAGTAGTGCCCACACCTTGAAGAAGTCGTCTCTAGAGGAATTGTGTTTGTTTATCAAAACTTATAATGCCCCGATATGATGCAGGTTTTAACAAAAATTCTGCTTCTTCAGGTGGATATGAAAGTTTCCACAAAACTATTGAGATGAAGATCACAGAACTCTTCCTGTGTCCTAACGAACATTTTTCCATCAACCATAACTCAAAAAGTAGATCTCCTCAACATTCATCCTATTTCCATTTGTAGGACTTTGGTGTGCAAAAGGGCTGGTACATTTACCTATGTAATAGTATATTTGATACTTTTATCAAAGTACCTGTCTTGTCCATATGTCGCCTCCAAAATCCTTCAAAGGTGACAGTCCTTCTAAAATGTAGGGCAGAATTTTATTGAGGTGTCGGTGATCTCAACTACTGGATGGAGGGCCAGCAAAGCACCTCTGCTGCCTCTTTTCAGGAAGATATAGAAAATAGGAACAGCAGAAGGTTATTCAACCCTTCAAGTCTGCTCCACCATTCAATATGATCATGGCTGTTCCTGCTTCCTCCCCATACCCTTTGATCCGTTTAGCTCTCAGAACTATATCTAGCACCTTTTAGAAAACATTCACTGTTTTGACCTCAACCACCTTCTGTGGCAGAAAATTTTCCACAGGCTAACCACTCTCTGGGTGAAGAAGTTTCTCATTGTCTCAATACTAAAGTATCCTTTGACAGTGATTCTGATTCTGGACTCCATTGTCATTGGGAATAGCATTCCTGCATTTATTCTGTCTGGTCCTGTGAGAATTTTATTGATTTCTATGAGGTACCACCCCTCATTCTTCTAACCTTCAGTGAATACAGTCCTAACCTATCCAGTCTTTCTTCACACGTCAGACCTGCCATCCCATGAATCAGTTTGGTGCCCATTGCAGTGAGTGTGGCAACAATAACTGGGTGTACCTGAAACAAAGTACCTGATCTTCACTGCACGATAACAGGGCTGCTAGCTACGGCTTTAAGACCAAATGGTAGCTGAATGTGGCCCTGAAGTGATCCTTAATTGTCTTCATAAAGGATCACCATTGGTAGTATTGCAGTAAGATGGCTGTATTTAGGTATGCGGCCACTCTGCCTCATTTTGTGCTCTTCCCACCCCCAACCTCGCTACCAGTGAGAGCAGATTCTGCCTGTAATCTCTGTCCCCTTCACCAAGAGCACTGAGATAAATATAGTACAAAAGCAAAGTGGAGATGATGTTGTAAATCTGAAATATAAACAAAAATTTCTGTTTAGCAGGTCTGCCAGCATCCAGGAAAGAGGGGAGCCGGGAATCCGTTGTGCAGAGAAAACAGAACAGTACAGCACAGGAACAGGCACTTCAGCCGACCATTTCTGTGTCGACCATGGCACTATTCTAAACTAATCTTATCTACCTGCACATGTTGTTCCCCGGGAAGCCCATTTCAGGCAACTCCCACCCTCTGTGTAAAAAAACTTTCCTCGCATATTTCCTTTAAACCTTCCCCCTCTCACCTTAAACCTACAGCCCCTAGCATTTGACATTTTCACTCCGGGAAAAAGACTCTGACCATGCTATCAATGTCTTTCATAATTTTATATACTTGTTTCAGGTCGTCTCTCAGCCTTAGGGGCTCCAGCAAAAACAATCCAAGTTTGTCCAACCTCTCCTTATAGTTAATAGACTCCAATCCAGACAATAACCTGGTAAAGCCTCCACATCCTTCTGTTGATGACCAGAACTGCACACAAATGCAGTCTAGTCTAAACTTTTATAAAGATGCACCATGACTTGCCAACTTTTATACTCAATGCCCCAAGCAAGGAAGGCAAGCATGCTGTACACCCTCTTTACCAGCTTATCCACTTGTGTTGCCACTTTCAGGGAGCTATGGACTGCATCCCTCTGTATATCAATGCTCCTAAGTGTCCTGCCTTTTACTGTGTACTTTCCTCCTGCATTTAACCTTCCAAAATGCATTACTTCACATTTGGCTGGATTAAACTCCATCTGCTATTTCTCTGGCCAACTTTCCAACTGATCTGTATCCTGCTACATTCTTTGATAACCTTCCTCACGATCCACAACTCCATGAATCTTCATGTGAACTGCAAACTTACTAATCAGACCACCTACTTTTTCATCCAAATCATTTATATATATTTCAAATAATAGAGGTCCCTGCACTGACTCTTGTGGAACACTACTAGTCAGAGACCTCCAGTCAGAAAAACACCCCTTCACAGCTATGCAGACAGGGTCCAATAATCGAAGAACTGGCTGATAACCTGTGGCTTGAAGGAATCAAGCAACTTTCAGGCACCTGAGTAGTCACTGTCAGGCCTTTCGTGCAATTAAAATCATTGATAGTGGAAATTCTGCCTGCCAACAGCTACTGGCTAGAGGCTAGAAATCCAATGTCCCACTTCTTTTGTCCTCTACCTTAACTTGGGGAGTTTTGTTGCGACTAGAAGGCTGATGCAGGGTCTCTTTGGTTATTAAGTAGACTGAGCTGTCATGCTTTTGCTGCAATGGGCTTTATTAAATCCAGCCCAAAGCTAATATTTCTGCTTTGAGTCATACCTAGCACAAATGAAGGCTGCATTTGACAGTATGGTATCAGGAGGCCCTAGGAAAATTAAACTGACTGGGAATCAATGGCTGACCTCTCCGATGGTTGGAGTCATAGCTGGCACAAGAAAGATTATTATGGTTGTTGGAGGTCACTCATCTCAATTCCAGAACATTTCTGGAGGAGTTCCTCAGGGTAGTGTCCTCGGCTCAGCCATCTTCAGCTGCTTCATAAATGATCTTCCCTCCACCAGAAGTGGGGATGCTCGCTGGTGATTGCAAAATGATCAATGCCATTCATGACTCCTCAGATACTGAAACAGTCCATGTCTAAACGTAGCAAGAACTGGACAAATTCCAGATTTGGGCTGGACAGGAATATTAATGCCACACAATGACTGGCAAAAACCATTACCAATAAGAGAAAATCAAACTATTACCATTGCTGAACCCCCCCACTATCAATATCCTGGGAATTACTATTGATGAGAAACTGAACTGGACTTGCTATGGAGATGCTGTGACTACAACAGCAGGTCAGAGGCCAAGAATTCTGCAGTGAATAACTCACTTCCTGACTCCCCAGAGCCTATCCACCATGTGTATGGTGCAAGTCAGATATACCACCTACAAGATGCACTACATAAACCTGCCAAGGCTCTTTGGACATTATTATCATTAACACCACAGAGTTTTGTTACTTTTGTGTCACACCTGAAACAGGCAAGGCCCATTTATTTATTTTTTGAAATTATTATGTGAATTGTCTTGTCTGATTGTGTCTGTGTTTAATTTAAGAATCTCTTCAAATCCAGCAATGCATCTTGTCAAACTTGGCATGGACCTCAGCTGCATCCAGGTGCATCACTGCGTCATTATCAAGCCTCCATGGGCAATCCAGTCAGTATTAATATGTTTCCCTGCTGGTGCAGAGCTCCCAACTACTGTGGAAATGTAACACTTTTCCAAACAAATCATGACTGCAACTACTAGATGTTGATGAAACAATGCAAGGGCCAACAATAATGCATTATGGGACAAACATCAGGGCTGATTGGTAAAAATAATGCTGTATTGAAGGGCCTACCATTACTTATAATAAGGTTGATATAAATATTTTTTTAAAAGCCCAGAATAGATCAAGATCAGCACATACATTTTTAGAAAGTCATGTGCCTCAGAATCTAATTGATGTAATTATAATTTTACACTATGCACTATTCACAATTCCTGCTTTAAGTCAAGCCATATGATTATAAAAACATTATCAAGCTCAGATTTGGAATAACAAAAAAAGACCTCATTCTCTTGCAGTAGGGTCTGCAAGAACATGGTTGATTAATGGCATAGTGGAAGGTGGAACATCATATAGCTAGGAATCAGGGACAAGTGCTACAGGACCACCACTAGCTGTACAGGTGGGCCCCAGAACAAAGATATGCCGCAAGGGTACTAACAGTAAAGGGTGCACACAGGAACTAAATTTCCACAATAACAGCAGAGAGCTCTCCACCTGCAGGGAGAATACTAATATTGAAGTGGGGGTGATGGATGGGTTTTGGAAATTTGCCAATGACACAGACAAACCTATGTTAAATGTGAACACGTAATATTGTAATAGGAAAAAGTTAATACAAAAAGGTGCTAAAGTTCCGAAGAGTTCGGAGTTTAATTTAATTCAGCACCATTCCAAAAGTTAAAGCTTGCAATGGGTATTACTTAGATATATCGAGTACAAGCTTTGTTATAAAATTCTATAAAGGTTAATTTAACAAATAAAACTGATTATAAAAAGACACTATAGCTGAATGTCTCCATTCAATTACATTTCTCATGTGTAGCTGTCATTCAAAAGGCAACAGGAAGTCAAATGGCATATACAGTAAATGAATGCAGAGGTTCATTTATTAATATGTTAAAAGATATACAATACAATTTTTCACTCAAACAATCTTGTACTTTTCCTTGATATTTGCTCTAGCAGAATCAGGGGTGAGAGGATGGGTAGAAAACTGTAGACTTCTCCACAGTCTCTCTCTGCCAATGTTCATTTGTGGCCAGCTGGTATGATATATGAGAGCTAGATTGTGATACAAGGCACAGCCAAATTTTCCTGCTTCCTTTCAACAACGCACCTCATTTCAGTGCTGTGTCCAATGATAAAGCCAAGATCAGGAGCTAGTTGCCTGGAGTAACATAACTCATGGCTAAGTTTCAAAAATCTTCCAGGCCGCGGGCATAATGTGCTAAATATGTTACACTGCTGAATTGTTCAGTTATCCGTGAATTGAAGTTCTATTTGGGGAAATAAAAGATTTAATCTGATTTTTGAGCAAATGTGAAACCCAAGTTTTCGCAATTTTCAAATAGAAACACTCAAGCAATTCAGAGAGGGATCTCTTTAACAAAAAAGCAAAGTAGAATAAGAATTAGTGTTTCCTTTATTTCAATAAACTGCATTGAGGAAGCACAAATAAGTAATTTTTACCTATGAATAACTTCTGCATATAGGCAATGTATTTGCATGGATGCATTCTTTACTAATTTTAGTAGTGTATAGACTACTTTCTAATCAAACTTCTACTCTATACTCCAACATAATATTGTTAGAATCATGGACTGTAAATGCCAAATCAGAATACTTTGTTTTTTCCCAAGTCACTTGCATTTCCGACAGTGAAAAGAGATACAAGAAAAATGTGTGAGGAAGGAAGAACATAGCAAGCAGGGGGAGAGAAAAGCATGAGCAAAATTTGGAAAGTGGGCGGAGAAGAGAAAGACAGAGAGAGAGGACAGCGAGCAAGAGAGAGAAAAGTAAGCACAAATGGAAGAGGTCAATAACGTAGATAAAAAACCTATTCCAAGGACTCTCATATATGCCATTCGAGGTGGCTAATAATAGGTCTTCAAGACCATCTTGGATGATCATTCCTGTATTTTCATGGTAGGGCCACTGAATTCACCACACTGAGAATTCTACAGCTGTGAAGAAGCATTGATTGGTGGACTGATACAATTTCTCTCTTTTGTCATCCAGAATGAGTTCAGTTGATCAGCTTTTGATCTCTCCGCATTTATCTCAAAACTTTCTAGACTCCCATTTCACAAAATAAATGCTCCTGCCTAAGTTTCTTTGGAGATGGCTCCTAAGAATGACCTGCAAAGGCATCTTCTCTCCTCTATTCATGAGAAAAGATGACTTGGCTTCCAACTGTCAATTCCAAAAATCAGGACCTAATCACTGGGAAAGTGAGGGCAAGATCCTTAACACACCCAATCTATTGGCTAGTTAGTGCTAAAGAATGCTGAATAATTAAGCAGGTCTCAAACCTTGCGAAGTTTATATTCCTCTTCCACCTGGCCAGCCTCATTCAGATGGTTTAACCATGTAGTGACATCTAACCGCTTGTACATATTCTCTTCCGGGTGAATCTCCGATGATGGCAAATTAGGGCGTTTTATTGAGAACTGCATGCAAGCCTTTACATCAGACACCTGGAGGGGATGATAGAATCAAGTTATACAGCTGTAAAATAGGAGTTACATCTTTTAATAAGCGCACAGCCTGACACATAGGAAAAGAAACAGCAGTTTCACTGTTCCCTCGGAATAAGATGCACAAATGGAAAAATCAGTTGTATAAGACGGCAATAAACAAAACAAGCCAGTGCTTCCCATTTGCAATTCAATGTGGCTGGTGAATTGTGACTCACAGCAATTGAACTGGAGCCTAAGTGAACATATTTTGTGTCTTTTGGATAGAGTACTAAATATTTCAGGTCTTTACCTGTTTTCTGCAATGTCACTCATTCTTACAAACAAATCTCAAGTCTATCACTATCAGAAACTATCCTTACTGCCCAGTACGTAATTGTATGACAAGTACTATTGCAAAGACCGTGCAATGAAATTTCTTGGCTACACTGGATACTATAATTTCATATGTGCGTCCAGTGTTCCTCCCTGCAGAATTATTAACTCTAATAATATGATGGGGAGGGCCAGTTAGCTCAGCTGGCTGGATAGTTAACATGTGGATCAGATTAATGCCATTAATACAGGGTTTGATTTCTATTCTGGCTGAGGTAAATCAGGAGCTGTCTCCTCATATTACTTGTAAGAAAGTTCACGGCATGTTGCTGTGGTGTGACAAAACTGAGAACCTGTCCTTGGTTAGAAACTGACGAAGAATGAGATGAAGGCAATAACAACCAACACCTGGGGTTGTTTTGCATGTGATATACAAATGAAGAGATATAGATATCACGAATTTTATTTCATAATGTTTTGAAAAACAAAGCATGAAACCCTCTACTTAATACCAGGTCAATTTTATTTCAAAGACCAGTGAATATCTGGAACATGTTGGCCCTAAACTTCAGCTCTATCTCCTTGGTGACCTCTTCACTCCTAATGCTCAGAGACAGCGAGAACTGAGATGCTGGAGTCAGAGTCGATACAGCGTGGAGCTGGAGGAACACAGCAGGTCAGGCAGCATCACAGGAGTAGGAGGGTCGACGTTTCGGGCCTAGATTCTACATCTGGACTCCTGTTCTGCTGTATTCCTCCAGCTCCACACTCCTAACGCTATTGAGATCTGAAATTGAATTGCCAAACTTACGAACTCCTTTTTCGGCTGCAAGGCAACAAACTGTTCATAGTCTCTAATACATCAACTCATTTTAGCATCATCAATGGGAATGTCTAGATAGTATTAAAAGTCATATACTAGCACTATGCAATCCTGCCAGCCACAGTTGGCCTCAGCCATGCCAAATAGTGATATCACTAAAGAGAAGATAAACGTTTCAATATGCTTTTTTAGGAAATGGGAGAAGACTTTAAAAAAAAAACAAAAATTGGCAGGGAGGCATATTGACAATATTAAATATTTTTCATCAAAACAAACGACATCCAGGGCTCCCATTTCTGGTTGGACATACTCCTGGTGGTTTTACAACATGACTGGTCACCCCCAACCTTCCCAACTGGTCAGCCTTCCAATTCCCATAACCAATATTTTTACAATTGATAAATGCAAGTGGTGAAGGAAAATTACTTTATTTTTAAATTCCCCAAGCTTTCTCTTGAGTTCTTCACAGCTGTTGAGTAGAAATTAATCTTCTAATTACTGCAGACCACACAAAACATCTGTAGGATTTGAGATAACAAAGTGTAGAGCTGGATGAACACAGCAGGCCAAGCAGCAGCAGAGGAGCAGGAAAGCTGACGTTTTGGGTCTGGACCCTTCTTCAGAAATGGGGGAGGGGAACGGGATTCTGAAATAAATAGGGAGAGAGGGGTAGGCGGATAGAACATGGATAAAGGAGAAGATAGGTGGAGAGGAGACAGACAGGTCAAAGAGGCGGGGGTTGGAGCCAGTAAAGGTGAGTGTAGATGGGGAGTTAGGGAGGGGATAGGTCAGTCCAGGGAGGACAGACAGGTCAAGGAAGCGGGATGAGGCTAGTAGGTAGGGGATGGGGTGGGGCTTGAGGTGGGAGAGTGGATAGGTTAGGGAGGCGGGGACGAGCTGGGCTGGTTTTCGGATGCGGTAGGGGGAGGGGAGATTTTGAAACTTGTGAAGTCCACACTGATACCATTGGGCTGCAAGGCTCCCAAGCGAAATATGAGATGCTGTTCCTGCAATCTTCGGGTGGCATCGTTGTGGCACTGCAGGAGGCCCAGGATGGACATGTCGTCCAAGGAGTGGGAGGGGGAGTTGAAATGGTTCGCGACTGGGAGGTGCAGTCGTTTGTTGCAAGCCGAGTGTAGGTGTTCCGCAAAGCAGTCCCCAAGCCTCCGCTTGGTTTCCCCGACGTAGAGGAGGTCACATCGGGAACAGCAGATACAGTATACCACATTAGCAGATGTGCAGGTGAACATCTGTTTGATGTGGAAGGTCTTCTTGGGGCCTGGGATGGGGGCGAGGGGGGAGGTGTAGAGGCAGGTGTAGCACTTCCTGCGGTTGCAGGGAAAAGTGCCGGGGATGGTGCAGCTGGTGGGGAGTGTAGAGCGGACAAGAGAGTCATGGAGAGAGTGGTCCCTCCGGAAAGCAGATAAGAGTGGGGCGGGAAAAATGTCTTTGGTAGTGGGGTCAGATTGCAGATGGCGGAAGTGCCTGAGGATGATGCGTTGGATCCGGAGGTTGGTGGGGTGGTACGTGAGGATGAGGGGGATTCTGTTTTGGTTGTTATTGCGGGGAGGGGGTGTGAGGGATGAGTTGCGGGAAATGCGAGAGACACGGTCGAGGGCATTTTTGACCACTGTGAAGGGGAAGTTGCAGTGCCACAACGCCACCCGAAGGTTGCAGGAACAGCATCTCATATTTCGCTTGGGAACCCTGCGCCCAACAGTTTCAATGTAGACTTCACAAGCTTCAAGATCTCCCCTCCCCCGACCGCATCCCAAAACCAGCCCAGCTCGTCCCCGCCTCCCTAACCTGTCCTTCCTCCCACCGAGCCACTCCTCCCACCTCAAGCCCCACCCCCATCCCCTAGCTACTAACCTCATCCTGCCTCCTTGACCTGTCCGTCCTCCCTGGTCTAACCTACCCTCTCCCTAACTCCCCATCTACACTCACCTTTACTGGCTCCAACCCTGCCTCTTTGACCTGTCTGTCTCCTCTCCACCTATCTTCTCCTTTATCCATCTTCTGTCCGCCTACCCCTCTCTCCCTATTTATTTCAGAATCCCCTTCCCCTCCCCCATTTTTGAAGAAGGGTCTAGCCTGAAACATCAGCTTTCCTGCTCCTCTGATGCTGCTTGGTGTGCTGTGTTCATCCAGCTCTACACCTTATCTCAGATTCTCCAGCATCGGTTGTTCCCACTATCTCCACTACATCTGTAGGATTGTTAACTGTACAACGTGCTCAGATCATCCCATTTTTCTGTTAAAATTGAATAATATTTTGTGTACAACATTAACAGGATAGGTTTTCTTGCTACTTGTAGGGTCCCACATCCAAATACAGATTGGCAATCTGCCTAATGTAAGTCAACCAAACACAATGAGATGTATAGAAATAGGCTGTTTTACAGTGACCGGATTTGCCTGCTAATTTTGACACACAGAAATTAAGCACGATTTGACTTGTATGCTGGTGTTCCCATGCAGTACTTCTTTCCTTCTAAAGAAATGACAAGGCTCTATTTGGCCACAACATCAGATAACACGTGGGAAGCCTCATCAATCTACAGTATATGCAACTACCATGAACCGAATAAATAAAAAAAACTTTTATAGGCAACTGATTTAAGTACAACTCAGATTGCCAAGTGGTGGATAGAACTTGACCCTTGTCTTTACATATTTACACGCTTTTATATACAAAGATATATATATATATGTATATATATAAATATCCACTTGCAATCCAAAAATGAAGCTTCAAAGGCAAATCCCCAGTTATGTCCACCACTTAAATACAATGAAAGAATATACAATTCTAACTTTACAGGGGAATTAACGCATGATTAAAAAACAAAAGGCTGGATGTCCAGGAACAATGACATATGTAGAAATACTACTGCAAAGGAATAGGCGAACATTTCTAGAATTGAATTGGTCTTTACAAAGCCACAGATGGCCAAGGCTGTAATTCAGGCCAAAAGGATTTCACAAAATACTGAATTAAAATTGTGTTTTAACACTTTGGTGATTGCTCTCCCAAAATCAATTAGGGTGATGCAAATTAAATTAGGGAACACCAGCATCAGACTGTTAACCAAGACGCCCCAAGTCTAAATGCTAGCTTAAATAATATTTGGACTTGATTAACAGCATTTGGTGAGGTTTCACAGTTTGCTAGATAGAACAGCTTAAAGGGGTGGAGAAAGGAAGGAAAGAAAAACTGTTTCACTCAATCCCATCGTGTAAAAGTACACCTTCTACAAGCCAATATGGACTGACATTTATTGAGTGAATTTGTTGGCTCCAATGTTTACTCCATTTACTTTACCAGATATTGCCCCAACATCTTGTGAAATTTAAAAATTAACGAACAGATGAGTTGAACAAAAGAGTAGGTGATACCCTGCTTGATTATAAAATGCTCCCTGGCTTGGAATGATCTTATTTGTCCTAGTATTGAATAAGTATATTGAACGATGCCTAGGAGAATGAGCAAGAACACACTGTAATAAAAGCCACTCAAGTTCTTTTGAAATGTTACCTTCCATTTCACCTGCCACTCAGTTCCAGCTCTGCCTAATTTCTTTCAAGTTTCTCTTTAAGGTACCTTCTCCTGAAGGTTATGACACACTGGGTTATGAATCCACAAGAACTAATCACATTTTCTAATCACGTCTCTCCCTGCCCAAGTGACTTTGGATCATATACCAATATATGTTAGTTGATAGTACTTTCACCTCCTGAGTCAGAGTTTGAGAGTTCAAGTGATACTCCAGGGAATGAGACTGAGGAAGTGCTGTACCAATAACGATACCTGTTTTCAGCCGAGAAATTAAACAGGGACCCTGTTTTTCCTCTGTAAATGTAAAAAGATCCAATGACAGAATTCGGAGGAGGAGCCCGGGATTACGCCTAATGTTTTGACCAATATTATTCCTCAAATACCATACAAATGGATTCTCTGGTCATTGTCTCAAAGCTGTGCGCAAATTGTTGAAAAGATTCCCAATTACAACAGTGCTTCTAAAGTACTTAATTGGCTATAAGGCACTTTAGGAAGAACTTCAAGGAGACTACAAAAATGCAAGCCCTTGGCCAGAATTATACCTGCCCCAAAGCAGTAAGGGGCTCAAGTGTTATTCCCATCACCCATCTGCCTCCATTAGGATTTTACCAGTGACATTGAAGGTGTTCTCAGTGCCAGTTAAGGCTCTGAAATGAGCGATTAAAGGCCTCTTCTGCCCTCCTCCAACTTGTCTATCCTGGCTGCAAACTCAGTCAGGGAAGAGTGTGGGAATCAGGCTCTCCTTCTGGCTCCTTCTACCACACGAAGACTGTACCTATCTCATTCATCCATGCTTCTCATCCCCACGTCCAAACCAGGTCGTTTCTGATTGGTCTAGTCAAGCAAAATCACCTCACTTTGCTGCTTATCCATCCTCCAGTGTCATCGGTGAAATGACTCTAGTCCCAACAGCATCCAGAGCTCTTAGCAGCATTGCTGAGACTAGAGAGCTACTGGCCATCTGAGTGGCCGGTAGCTCGAAGAAGTATGAATCAGGACCCTGGATAAACATTTAAAGAAAAGGATGGTGTCTTCCCAGGCCAGGAAAGGAAGGTTTGGCTCATCTTTTCAACTATTAGGTACCCGCTAACACTAAAAAAAATTCCAGCTTTTATTTTCTTTCACAGTGAACAGTTTTTGCACCAAATTGCAAAGGCTGACCCTCCAGAAACATGAATTTGTCTGAATCAAATATCTACAATAAGTTTCCAGCATCAGCTTCCAGTAAACTGGCTGTCAGTGTAATAGCAGCAGCTCAAATGGTTGCTATTTATTTTCTATGCGTCAACAACAACTACTCTTCAGTACAGTTTAATATTTCATTCAATGGCATGGTAGAAAAATCAGAAAAACTGTATTATTGTCAAATGTAGAAATAAACTTTCAGAGAGGGAAGATTATTCTATTTTGGGCAGAAAAGCATCCATCTTACTGGACAGCCTATGTGAGATGCTACAGCCCAAAGGGCAAATGTATTCCCCAGTGCCCACAGAAATGTGTAAAGGAGCCCCAGGAAAATGGCCAAGACAGAAGGCAAAACATTTGCCCTGCCAAACTAAATAAGCAAAATATACATGCCCAGAACAATTTCCTCTCAACCTCACAGCTTGATTGAGGCCACATGCAAACCAAAGTCCATATGCACTTCCAAACTGCTGCAAGACAAACTCGGTAGCCACTGCTGAAATGTCAAGACACTGTCCTATTTACATCTGTAAAGTTCTGTCAAAGATCTTTTCTTCATGCAAGGTAAGCACTTCAGCATCAACATCTGCACTCTTCAAATTTCCAATGTTTCAAGGAGTGACAGCACATAAAGCAAGAAGGGAAAAGCATACAATAGGAATGTGGTGTAACGTCAGGCCTGCAAGTCAATTTGGAGACACACCTCCATCTTCTGAACTTAATTAATAGTGAAGTTAAGGGGAATATAATTGGAAGCTTCCTCAAACTCGGGGTTAGTGCCATGTTATTGCTTTGCTCTTTCTTTCTCTGCTCACTCACTCTCTCCACCAAATGCTGTCACACAACAGCATGATAATTTGCATAATGCAATGCAGGGTGCTGCTGAAGGGATATTTTGTAGCCAGTGTCAGGTTCTTACTAAACTCAGGTTTTCTTCTAATTAAACAGGTATTCACTAAAAGGCAGCCACAGTGACAAATGCTGCAGTGTAAGGCACCATCTCACACTGCAGATCACCAATAATTTCAAGCAATGCAATCTCAAAGACTGCAACTTCAAGGTTGCAGGAAAAGATAGATCACCTTTGGGGGAATAGGTTACTTTGAGCAGACAGCACAAGGCGAAGTAGAGAAATGAATGGGCAGAAGTAGGCGCAGGTAGTAGAAAGGGAACAGGCATCTGGATACTCAAGTGCTATCTGCTGTCGCTGTTCATTGCTCAAGCTAGAAACTGAGGCTTCGTAGCTTCTGTGCATAAAAGAATGCTATCCAACGATTAACTTTAAGCAGTCATTTGAGTTGCCAAAGCACCCTGCAAAGTCTGATGACAATTGAGGAGTACACTGTCTGCATGTCAGCAATAGTGTATTATTCTTAACTGAGTACATGACAACGCCTGCAACAAAATCCTCAAAGACAGGGGTTCTTAACCCAGTTTGACTATCTCTTATGGATACTCCTACAGATATTAAAGTGACATAGTTAACTTCAGCATGCTGGGAAGAACTTTGAGACAGGAATTCATGGATCTCACCATCGCCTGTGATTCTACAGCCATGTGGTCATCCTGAGAGTGCTCATAAGTAGAGTAACTGGTTGAAGTAGCAATCACCTCCAATACAGTGCTTTGGTAGTAAAGCTTCCCAAACTTAAGGAGAGCAGGAATTAATGTGAGACAGATATAGTCAAGATTTTTAAGTGAGCAATGGCAGCATTCAGGAGACAGGAAAGAAGAATACTGCACGTAATAGGTCAGGGTTTTGAGAAATCTAAGGATATGTTTCGATAACAGTGATTATAGTCACATAGGTTCCAATAATACCCTCAACTATGGGGAATCTTACATGAAAAATATCATTAGGCCGTTTCACTCTGCTATCATGATTTTGGGTGAAAACTATTGGATTTTTATGTACTTTTGCACAATTACCTTGTCACTTTGTCTGAAGATGAGATTGAAGGATATGATTTAACTTTGTAACTATCTCAATAATGATGTGAAACTGGCAAAGTCAGCTCCCTGCAGACATACCCAAGTAGCTATACTGCAGTGTGTACAATATTTCTGTGCATATGGGCTGTATCGGCAACCCCTTCTACTGAGAATACTCTTTCCTTTCCTTCTTCTCAGATCCTCACTTGCCACTTCCAAAACAAAGAAAAGAGATGAAGGAGACTGACTCAGAAGAATTCCTACAGCTTCAGCAGTACTCCTTGCAAGCCAGAACCTTTCTCAATCAGAATCTTGTTTGCATAGGTCACCATGCAGGGACCAGATTGTTCTGAAAACATAGCTGCTGCCAGATATGTGTTAACCGGTGGTCTGTTACCAGTTTGTGCAAAAGTTGGCTGTGAACAAACTGCTAATTGATTTCTCCAAATCCTTTTATATCCCAAAATGCTTTGCAAACTAGACTAATACAACTGAAATTCTGGCACATCTAGAATATTGAAGGAAATTCAATGGCAGACAAAAATTAGTAAAACTTCCACCTTTCTGACAACGTATTAAATTCATTTATCAACAGAATTGAAGTGTGACAGCAAGTGCCACTAACTGTAAACACATTACAGAAATTTGTTTCCAGATAGCTAAATTACTATGAAGTGTGTAACTATTTTAGTGATCTAGAGCTGAATAAGAATTAGCATAGGTTTCCTATTCCCAGGATCAATATATTCATGCAAGTGTTTCCAGTCATGCTGATTACATACCTGATCCCTTTGATGCGTTTCAGTGCAATATTTCCACTGTTGAAACACTTCACTAAGTTTATCAAGACCACCATGGTGAAAATGGAAAATCTTGTACTGACTTTCACGGCTAGCAATGACTAGTTGTCCACACGTGCATGCTTCATCACTGGGAGGAATATGTTTGAGAAACAAAATATTACATTAAGTATCTGTATGATGACCTTCAGTCCCTGATAGCCAACATTTTCGTACACATCTGTTTTGAAGGTAAGGGATGAACATTCACAGAAGCTAAGAATGGATTAACGTTGCTAAAATCTGGTGCAGACACAATGAATAGAAGTATTTTCAGTTTCCACAGATAATCAGAGGTAATTTGATGTAATTGATGGGTAACTGAGTCCACTAAAAAAAAATTTTTGAATGTAATTGTACGTTGGAAATCAGATTTAAATCAATATTTGATTGAATATTCAACCAGCTGTATCCATTATTTGATATGTAGCAAAATTTAGCAAATGTTGGAAATCAAATGAAGAAAAAGAAAGCTGGATCAAAAACATCTGTGCAGTGCACAAAATATATGGACTTATATTCTTCTTTGGAGAGAGTATGGGAGCATGGAGGGTTAACTCTCAGTTCTGTCCATAGATGCTGATGGGCTTGATAAGTTTACAGATTTCTCTGTTTTCAATATATTATTTCAGAGGCCTGCCAAATACTAGTTAAGATCATGGTTCATATTACAGTAAAGATTTAAATAGAAATGCTATATTGGTTTGTGTGAAAAATTCTGACAACTTTTATTATCACATAAATAAAACATAAAAACATAGGAGTAGAGGGGGAGACTGACATGCATTTCTTTCCAAAACAAAATGGAATATAAATAGGATGCAATTTTGAAGAAATGTGTTGTACAAAAAAATCTTTCTGACAATTAGTTCAAAAGTATTTTGTTACTCCATACCTGTTCTACTTTTACAGTGGAATTCTAACCTTTGTCTTTTCATTAATTAAATTCAGACAGTCAGATCTATGCTTTTAAGTAGCAATTACTAATAAAAAAGAACAAAGTACTTTGAACTTATTCACCGAGAAACATATTCTGCAACTTTGCACTTCAGGAGGCAATTGGAAAGATGTTATGCTATTCACAGTTTGTTCCTAATAAAATATAACTTTCCCATAACTTAGTGAACATTCAACAGAAAACAGAGGTGTTTGCAACATTCAGGACAGTACTTAATCGTTTTTAAAAAATGGACAAGAAGCGATTCATAATTTCATGAACGTATCTATGAATTTAAAAAAAAACTCTATTGGAGCATCTTATGGGTCATGTCACCAAAAATGCTTTATTTTCAGGTTTTTATCTCTTTCTAGAGTCCACTGGCAAACAATTTAAATATTATGATGAATTTTGTTGAAATGAACTTCTCTGACAATCTTAGTACAATTTTTTGCTGTACTTTTTTAATGTTTAAAAAAAAATTGTTTGAAATATACAGTAGCAAAACTAACAGATACTGGATTGCCGAAAAATAAAGGAAATCTGGGAAACTTGAAAGAATTGTAAAGTGGGCTGGTGCGGAACTTCAAATGGACATAAAAAAATTGGTGGAGTAAGCAGATAGATGGTGAATGACGTTCAACATGGAAAGTGAGACTGTATATTTTTGAAAAGAAGAGCATGGTAGGACAGTATTTAAAAAAAGGCAGTTGTTTGGTGGTACAGATCTGGAGCACTGCCGAAAAGACATTTTGTCAAAGCTTTTCACTGTCTACTCATCAGGACATTTGCAAGCCTACCAATGCAAAGGGGAACATTTTATTGTGAGAAAGAAGACAGTGCTGATTGGTTGCAAAGTGGAGTCTGAAGGCTAGAGGTGTTGTCATGGAGACTGCACCAGGTTGGTGACGACTGACAGTTAACTGCTAATCATTTAAAATTTAAATCAGGCAAGTTGACTCTGAAATAGTCAAGGCATTACACCAAGGAATGTTGCTTAATTTAAGATGAAACAAGTGCAATGTACATACATGTTCTTTCTGTCTGCAAAGAACACAACCTTCAACAACAATGTAAGCAGTTTCATTAAATGCAAGAGAAGCAAGGGAACCTGGGTACATATGAGCATTCGCCTTTTAAAGATGGCCAGACAGGTTAAGAGAGCAGTTAATAAAGCATACACATTTTACGCTTCATTGATAGCAGCGCTGAGTACAACAGCAAGGAGATCATGTTGAATGTATTATAAAACATGATTTTGGCCTCAGCGGGAGTACTACATCCAGTTATGGGTGCTGTATTTTGGGAAGGAATGTGAAGGTATTGGAAAGAGTTTAAAAGAGGTACACAGACATGATTCCATAGATGAGGAATTTCGTTTTTGACAAAACGATTACAGAAGCTGGGGACCGTTCTTCTTTGAGAAGGGAGGAGAGGAATTCTGATAAAAAAAATTCAAAATTATGTGAAACTTGGACAAAGTACTTTGGGATGAAACGTTCCCACTCATGAAAGTATTAAGAATGAGAGGGTACAGATTCAAAGTAATTAGTAAATGAAGCAACATTGATATAAGGAAAAACATTTTTACGCAGCAAGTGGTTAGGGTCTGGAATACATTAACAGACAGCATTGTGAAGGCAGGTATAATCAAGGCATTCAAAAGGGAGTTGGATGGCTATTTGATAAAGAATAATGCACAAGGTTATGGGGAGAATGGCACGAGGTGAGTTGCTGTTTTGAAGGGACAGTGCAGATATGATGAGCCATGATCTCCTTCTTCAGTGTAACAATTCTGTGAAATACTCAAGCAGATCAGGAAGCACGTGAGAGGAGAGAAACAGAGATCAACATTTTAGATGCTGTTCATCAACGTGAAACTTCCTTTATTTCTCTCCCCAAAGGTGCTTCCTGACCTGGTCAGTATTTCCAGAATTTTCTGATATTTGAAATATTGTCTTTCTCAAATTGAAGATTGAAAGTAGTACTGCTTCAGATCACAGCTAACAAAAAATATGTATTTAACATGAATCTGCAAATCCAGATCACTTAATAACATAAAGCTTAAACTGCAGCATTACTGGGACTCCTGCAAACTCTTTGGGGAAATGTTTGACTGTTTTTAGCAGTTATGGTCAGAAAGGGTAAATTGAACAATTTACAGATGTGAAAAGACACAATTTGTACATTTTAAAAACTGCAAATAACATTCAGTGCTCAGTGGCATTAATTCACAGAACTTGACAGTAATCCCCCAGCACAGTGATGTTATCAGAAGACCACTTTCACATCCTTGATATCTTTTACATCAGCAGAATAACAATCATAATTATATGTTAATGCATTCAGGTGTCACAAGGGAAATGCAAAGTAAGCAAAAGAAGAATAAAGGAAGAAAGATTTTATTTAAAAAAAATCAATGCAGGTCTTCAAAGCCAGGGTTGGCATTTCTTCAGTCAGACTGGAATTTAATATATATTAAAATTACATAAAGCATCACATTCTAATTTTCAAATTCATATCAATGTTATTTATATATTTGGAAGAAATTGTTGCATTAAGTCTAACTTCTTGTTTAAAGGAATAGATTATTTAACTTCCCGTTATAAAAGAGAATTAAGTACACTTATTACATTAAAAGAATTAACATTTAAAAATTGTGTTGAACTGCTTCCATTCCAAGGAAATCTCAATATGATATCATTTAAAAGTGTTTTTAATCCACTTGTTTGGACATGTTATGATCAATCTCCATGGCAGGTAGGATTTCAACATGTTCCAGGGATAGGGACATGACCACAACAAAATTATAAAATTATATGCATCAAAGTAAGCAAACTATTTATATTAAATAATGCAGCCTTGCCTGGTGCATTTATCTGGTTCCCTTAGTAGTGACAGCTATTTCCCATTTATTCATTTTCATTGACATTGTGAGCACTCATGTTAAAACAATTTATCTTTTAATTCTAGTAATTATATGCAAAAGTAGCAACTCTGACAAATAGATATTAATATGTTTAACAAAAAAATCCAGTAAAAAAAGAAAATGTTAATACTATTGATAACCTTCAGAAGAAAATGTAAGGAAATCATTCTAGTATTGAAGAAATTAGATATCTGCAATTTTGGAAGCATACACGATATATTTACAGCACAAATCAATGGGAAAAACACACTAATAAAAGAACTTTGAACATGCATTTGCCTCACAATGTTTTGGTCCAATGCAGTTAATGCAGAATTAAATTAACAACTGAATCTCAACAGGCACAATTTACAACTACCCAATGCTTGCAATTCTTCGTGGGGGCTCTTGTGGTACAATGGTTGTGCCCCTACCTCTGAGCGAGGAGGCCAGTGTTCAAGTCACATCTGCTCCAGAAGTGTGCAACAACATCTCTGAAAAGGTTGACTAGAAAATACTCGCAACTGTTCCTGTGGTTATCACAATTTTATCACATATATATGAAAGGTTCCCATGCACAAATCCGGGCAGAAACATTGTCAAAATGTTATTCACTTATTGAGCTCTTATGATGCAGTGGTCATGTCCCTACCTATAAAGGTCGATGTTCAAGCCTCCCTGTCCTGGAAATGTGCCGTAACATACCTGAAAATGTTGATTACATTTTTTATATATATAAATGAATAAAATGGGTCTTGTAGTAGCATCCCTACCTTTGGGCCACAAGGTTTGGGTTCAAGTTTTTTTTTTAACAAGTCAACTTGTTTAGAGATATTATTAAAGTGGGACTTGAACAAGGTCTTGCAGCTCAGAGGTGCTGATAATACCACTGCGCCACAACAGCCCCACAATCTGGTTTCATGACTAAACAGGTTGATTACAAACAACAAGGAGCAAAGTATAGGATTAATTAGGTAAATAGAACAAATATCCGAGACATCAACCTCAGCTGTTTTTCTCTCACACTTTTTATTCCAGACTCAAAGTTTTGAATGAAGGAGAAACTTGTGGGGGAAGGTGGGGGCTTTGAGGGGAGAAAGTCTTTCACAACTTTTAACCTTGGTGGTGTCCTTCACAATGAGTCGTGGCCCTTTCCTTTGATCTTCAGTTTAAATTAAATTTCTGCATGTCAGCTATTTTTAACAACGCAGCACAATGAAGGTTAATAAGTTAAATTTTTTTGGAAAAAGGATAAGGAGAAATAGAGGAATCTGGAAACTAAACAGTACTAATAAGTAGTTACAAGGAATTGAAAACTTACAGCATTTAGCTGAACTCCAAACAGTGATAATGGCAGATTCAATGCATAAAATCTTTACTGCAATTGCAATAATTTTAGAAGTTTAATGACAATAAAAAGCAGGTTACAGCCATCACTGGATTTCATAAATGGCTAATTTAATCTGGATTCAATCACGGCAGATGAAATCATTAGGAAAACAAATATGTATATCATTTTTCTATTTATTACACAATATTCTGATTCAGATATCGTCCATATTTATTTTTTAAATATAAAAACCTTCCATAAAAATGGGACATTTTATTAATCCCAAGGAATGGTGGCTCAGTGGTTGGCACAGCTGCCTCACAGCGTTAGGGACCAGGTGCAATTCCACCCTTGGGCGACTGTCTGTGTGGAGTTTGCAACTTCTCCCCGTGTCTGCGTGGGTTTCCTCTGGGTGCTCCGGTTTCCTCCCACAGTGCAGGGTAGGTGGATTGGCCATGCTAAATTGCCCATTGTGTCCAGGGATGTTTAGATTAGGTGGGTTAGGCACGGAAATGTTGGTGAATGGGTCTGGGTGGGATGGTCTTTGGAGGGGCGGTGTGGACTTGTTGGCCTGAATGGCCTGTTTCCACACTATTGGGATTCTATGATTTCAACGAATCTTCTTTCAAATACAGAAACTGTTCCAAGAATACTAATACCAACCAGAAAGTCAGCTAAAACATGGAGTTATGGATCAGTTTAATGTGAAGGTTCAAACACAATAACCTTTCAAGTACAGCTGTCTAATCAGCTATACTTTTAAAGGAACTCCAGTATATTAATAAGATAACAAACATATGTTTGAATAGTTTTCAACATATAGGTTTTACCACACCTTCCTGCAGCACAGGTATTAGGCCAAAAGGCAGATTGGAGTTATTTGAGATTAACAATCCAAACAGGGCTATAGAGAACATCTTTTAATTATAAACTTTTGGAGTTTCTCTTCATAGATGATTAATCCGTAAAGAGAAAAAAATAATAAATGGAGAAACTTCTTACAGTAATGGGAGCTAGATTTCTAACCTGAAAAAAAGGCGCAGTGATCGCATTTGGCCCAAATCAACTCTAAAAACACCATAGAGCTGCTCAAGTGCCAACACCTTCTGCTGCTCTTCCCATTTTGTGCTGTGCGGTTGTGTATAATTCTCAGAAAACTGTAAAGTGTACTGTGCATCAGAAGAGTGGTCTGAGATGGAGCTCGCCAAATTAGCCATATGTTCTTCGCACATCTCTCTGCATAATGAGGAAAAGGGGAAAGAAAGTGATTATTAAAGTACATTTTAAATAATAAAATTAGAGTGGTAAATATGTTAGATGGGAAGCTTAAACAATGAATTTACCATTGTCACTGATTCACTTATCCAAAGTAACCAATTTAAAAATAGATTAGATGAATTTGATTTCAACAACCTGCTACAATAAATTCAAATTGATTGCTTACACAGCCAGTTTTACCATTAACATCCTTTAAAAAGTCATATATCACCCATAAAATATTCAAATTAGCATTTGAAATGGAAGGCAGGTCGCTCCTGGTCAAAAGTGTAAGAGGCACATAAGAAATTTACTAGTTCAACAGCAAACTACTTTCAATAACATAAATTTAAAATGGAAACCAAAAATGCCAAAAATACTTGGGTCAGACTGCACATATGCAGTGGGAAACACAGGCAACATTTGATGTCAATGACCTTCATCAGATCTCTGTCAGTTCTTGACGAAAGGTCATCGACCTGAAATGTTAACTGTTCCTCTCTCCAGAGATGCTGTCTGACTTGAGTATTTCCAGCATTTTCTGTATTTATAATTAAAGTTAATAAATAATGCTTTCTTCCAGAGGAAATGCTCTCTGCTACATCTTGATCTCACTTGAGCTTTCCAATCTAAAAGAAGAATTCAAATTTAAGACTTCTTTTACTGCATACACTAACGAGACCACTAAATGCAGTATATTTTCCATCAATGAAGATAGAGTCAGACCAGTTCTTAAACAGAGGATTATCTAGTGAGTTGCAAAACCCTTCTTTCACATTTGAACATATACAAATAGAAATGAATCCTAGATGGAAGTGAAATTAAACAGAGTAAAAAGCCAAATTAAAATTAAATATGACAAATGATAGGTAATGAAAAAATTATGAATGGAATACTGGAAACTACTGTATGTACGTATTCTAGGTCTCTATAAAGCAGAATCAGATTGCTGACACATAGGCACTTATCCTTGAACGTCAAGTTCCTGGTCTTGACTGAGACACTAAAGAAAGGTGAACTAGTCAGATGCCCTATCTGTAACCTATGGGAGGTTACAACTAGGCCTATTTTCATATAATCCCAAACAGCCAGTTACAGCACAATATAGACCTGGCAGGGTAGCTAAATCATTCAGACACTGTGTGCCTATGTTCAGCTCAGGTTCAGGGAAGGTGGGGAGGGAGAAGAGAAAAAATGGGAATGAAAAAAATAGGAATATATTCTGATATTTTAGCCAACTATGAAAAATACATCATAATCATAATGCACTTAACCTAGCTAACGAGTACTGTTTCTCACATTAATTTTTAACAGTACAAATTGCTTAATCACTTTACAGAAGCACAAAAGTCTGTTTATGCATAATTTAATTGAACAGAAGCATGCTCAGGACAATTTGCCTAAGCTTACATTATTAAATAGCTACAACTTTGGACCCAAAGCTTGCCACCTGAATTATTCCTTCGGGTGATGCAGTCATAGCAAAGGTATGTGAGCTGATATACACCAATTCAGTCTCTGGAGTATGTCTTTACACTTGAGAAGAGAAGAGAACTCTGAATAGCTAAGTAATGAAACAAAGCTTAAGGGACAACACAACGCAACAAAGTAGGTGTCCCAATGGATCTCTCGTCGCCATGGGACTATATCTTCCAATGAGTTACTGACAAGTAATCAAAAATATGTTTTGTAAGCTTCCAATGGAAAAGAAACGTTAATGCAGTTGATACTTAAAATAGAGCCTGGCCATTGAAGAGTATTTTTCTGTTATCTCAGCTAATACAGCTGCACATCTACATGATGATCTGCAAATAGAGATATGTGTAGAACATTTCAAACAGCAATCTTGGCAATTACAATGAAACTCAATAACCATAACAACAAATTAATTTCTTTGCTACCCTGCTCAGCATCATAAAACGGTTGTTTAATGTCAAATAGCATACAATTATCCACAAAGAAAGCTTAATTTGATATACCTAGAACTGTCACACGATAGCTTGGGTAAATCATCCGGTACTGTGCAAATAGTTCTCAAATTATCTTTAAAAAATTATGTAAGATTTGTATAACAGTTCTGTATTCTGTCTCTTTGTCCAATTTCTTCATTGAGCATTCTGAGTAGAGAAGAAGCCCTTCAGCCCATCGAATTTGTCCTGCCAAAAATACAGTACTCCGTACACTAGTCCCACTTTTCCCCACTAGACGTGTAGCCTTGAATATTATGTCACTTCCAATGTTCATCCGAATACTTTTTAAAAAGCTAGCGAGGTTACCACCTCATCTACCTCCCAGGCAGTGCATTCCCGATCCTCACCACTCTGTGAGTGATTTCTTTTCCCCTTAAATCCTCTCTAAACCACCTGCCTTCCATGATCAAAGTGTGCTCCTGTGTTCTTGACCCTTCAACTTAGGGAAACAGCTGCTTTCTATGTCCATGCCTTAATAATCTTAGACACCACTATCAGGTCCCCTCTCAACCCTCTCTGCTCCAAAGCAAACAACCCAAGCTTATCCAGCCTCTCTTCATCCCTGAGAAGGAACATTTCAGCTAACATCATGATGAATCTCCTCTACCTCCTGTCCAGTGCAATTACATCCATCCTATGCTTTGGTGACCAGAACTGCATGCATTCAGAATAGCATTTTCTTGGTCATAAAATCATATAGTAGAGAAGAGACCCTTCAGCCCATCAAATCTGTGCCACCAAAAACACACTAGCTAAAAATCCAGCCGTGGCCTAACCAAAGTTCTGGACAGCTCCAACATAAATCCCATGCTCCTGTAATCTATGCCTTGACTGAGAAAGGAAGGTGTCTTGTATACCTTCTTAATCACCCTATTGACCTGTCCTGCACCTTCAGAGATCTGTGGGCAAGCACCCAAGATTCCCCTGTTCCTCTGAGCTTCCTTGTACCTTGCCATTCATTGGGTACTCCCTTGTCTTGTTACTTTTTCCAAAGTGCATCACCTGATATTTATCGGGGTTAAATTCCTTCCACCACTGATCTGCCCACCCAACCAATCCTATCAACTTCCTATCAACTACTCAGCCTGAGATCAAGAAAGTGAAGATAGACATGAGACCAAAGTTGCTGGAGTGCAGAGTACTCCAAGGTTTGGAGAGCTGGGGGTTTCAGAGATAGGAAAGGACAAGGTCATGAAATGATCTGAACATGAAAATAAGAATCCTCAAGCATTTGGGAGTTCGTGTAGATCAGTGAGCATGGCACCGGGGAGGGGTGTGGCATAGGGGAACTGTATAATAGGACTTAGTAGGATTAATTTAGGATACATACTTCAAAGTCTAAATGAGCTCAGGTTTGTATAAATAGTAAGGGTAAAGATGGAAGTCCAGTCAGAAATTACTAGACTAGTGAAGTTTGGAAGTGACAAAACACAGGATTTCAGCAGAGGTGGGTGAGGCATGGTGGAGGCAGTTGACATTATGTTGGAGAGATAAGGCTGAAATCTCAGTTCAAAGTTAAGTATGGCATCAAGGTTGCATACAGTCCGATTCATCCTGAGAGGAAAATGGAATTGGTGGCAAGAAAACAGTACTTTTGGCAGAAGATTAAGTTATTGGCTTCAATTTTCCCAATGTTTAATTTGAGGTAATTTGTTTAATCAAAACTAGATTTCATACAAACACCCTGACAACACAGAGACAAATGAAAGAATCAAGAGGTTTTTAAACAAAGGAGAGTTGTTATCATCAGTATTGACAACGAATTTGAAATTGTATTCTGATGTTGTGAAGATGCAGCATGTAAATGAAAAATACAACAAGACTAAGGATAGATCATTCTCAGCAAGAAGGTGTACAGCAGAAGCACAGATATAAGCAACTGGTTTCTGTACTTTTGTCTATAAACCTTGTCTTTCAGAATGTGCTCAGATGTTTCATTCTATTTTATCTTAACTTTTTCACACTTGTATACAATATTGTGCTAATAAATACTGTCCTGTTTCACTTGGAAATAGGCCATTCCCCCAATAGCTTTTCTTTAAAATTATTATTTATTTCAAATCCTCATTAAAAATAAGCAAAATATTATTTGCCTATCTTTATTTTGTGGGATAAATTCTTCATCAAATAAAAACAAACATTACAAGTGAAACCTGTAAGAGAAGTTTTAGTGACACTACCTGTTTTCTGCATCAAGAAATACAGATCTGCTACTTTCTGCCAGAGGGTCACCAACTGGAGACAAACATAATGGACTTGAGAATGTATCAGAATCTGAGCCAATGGTGCTGTCCCGACTGACATCATCAGTGGTTAGATCATACGATGCCTCATCTTCTCCTTGCTCCCTCTTAGAATTAATCTCATCCTGACATTCTGCAGGAATCTCCAGCTCTTTCTGGTCATCCTGACTTGTTACTGTTGAAGAAATTTGGGGGTCACAATGGGTTTGTTGCAGTGTACCGTCGGAGATTTGCAAAGCGAGGGAATCAAGTGGTATGCTCTGCTCTGATCTTAGTGACCCAATATGCATGGAATTAATCATGTCCTCTGACACACTTATTATCTCATCATCCTCCGGTGGAACCAATTCTTGTTTTTCTCCTGAAACGCTCACAGGTTGATGCGCAACAGATGCATGTGTATGCCGGCATCTCCTACGCTGTACTTTCCGCACAGGAGAACTTTCTGGTGTGATGTATCTTAAAGCTTCTTCATCTTGTCTTTGGATACGGGTGTTTGGGATCCAGGTAATAATAAGTGTTGTTCCCAGCAATTCATCTTTTTCTAAATGTATGCATAAATATCCTGGGTTCGAAGAAGGGATAAGAAAAGCCAAAGAAGAAAGTTAATTTTAAGAGCTCATAAATGCAAACAAAAATTCCATGAAAGATTACTATGCAATAACGCCCTAACATACATTGTGATTACAAAACTAATTCAGTTCAATAATTGTGGTCTCCACTCAAATGGAAATGTTTTCTGCATGTCCACTTTTCCAAGCCACCACAACTCCAACAACTTCCACTAGATTATCATAACGAGAACAAAGAGCCCCATACTTTTCAGCCTCCCCAAAACCTCAAACATTCCAACCTTGGGGTTATCCCTGTACCCTCTCCAGTGCCTCCACATCCCTCCCTATGGTATGGAAACATCCTAAAACAGATATAAACTGCAGTAAAGGAATAATGGCATTACAGTTCATTCCTTCAATTGCATCCAAGGCTACAACTTTCCAAAACATGTTTTATTGAGTTCTGACAACTGAAGCCTGTTTTGGTCATGGGATCAGAGATCATCTCGTTCTGGTTTATTATGTTAAAAAAAAGTTATTCACACCACGTAAATTACCATGACTTTTAGGAATACTTTTTTGGATTCTTCCATATATCAGATTCTTGCAAACAACAAGCTCTTACCAATCTTGTTAAGCTAAATTCTGCAATAAGACACATTTTATTCTGGTTGGTGATGTAATAAAATAAAAGGTGTCTTAAAGATGTTTTGAAATTGATCATCTTTTCCTCCAACCATCTGGGGGGTATTTGAGATTTTTCTTTATTTGATTAAATTTACACAAAATCATGAATGCTGTTTGATTATTATGCTGTACTTAAAAAAAAATCTGGCTCATAAAAGTCTTACATAGCTTAACTTTGTATTCAACAATGATGTAACACCTTTAATGTTGAGAATTCACGTGAAGACACCAAGAGATATATAATTTGGATGCAGTCAGACATTTAACATAAAGTGTAATCTCAATGTTTAAGTATAGGCAAGAAAGTGAAACAGGACTAAGGCTGAATTTTGCCAGAAATCAGCTAAAGTGTCAATATTGCTGAGTTTCATGGAGAGTTTCTCCCTGGGAGTCCTAGCAAGATTTCTCACACCATTTTCTCACACCATTTTCTGATACACCACACCTCTATGGTGCCCATTCATTCTAACTCCCTTCTCACCAGAGCACTCCCAGGAGTACCTGAGATTCCTGGCACCAATGCCAAGCAGACATGCATCTAGTCAAACATTACCAACCAGGAGTTGCCTTTGATAGTGCATATTATGGGAAGGAAACCAAAAAGAAACACTTCTCAGGGCACATTGGTAGCACAGCTGACACTTCATTACAAATATAAGTGCACAGTCATAAATCTATTGCTATTTAGGACCAAGCTACAGAGGTTACCTGCCATTTGCATTATCCCACCTTACAACCCTATCTTAGGTAGTGATATTCTTTCCCCAATTCCTCGTGAACAATGAAAAGTTAGGTTACAATGTGGGAGCATCATACTGGAAATGGATGAAAATATCCACTTCCATCCAGCAACAAAAAGAAAACAAAAAAAAAGCTGCATTTATCTCTGGGAACAGACAGGGACTGCTTGCCTTTCAAGCAGCAAAACAAAAAAATTGAATGTAAGTAAGTCATATTTGAACTGGGTATCAATCGAATCCTGCCTGGCTTCTTGTGCCTGACCTGCACTGCTTTATCATGTCGAAGGTGACATTCCCCCTGCTCAATGTCCTAAATTGCTTCTTGAAATATTGTTGCTGCTTACCCACTTCTTCAGAGTTTATTACGTCTCCCTTTTGCTGGCCCCACTTGTGCAGAGCATAGTATGCTGAGACTGAGTGGCACATTCTGCCTGATGGGCTGTAAGACCAGTCCCACACTGATCCAAACATTAGAACCTCATCTCCAGAAGGCCTACTCTCTGCTCCACCACGGCACTGGTGGAAGAACAGGCTCCACTATATCCAAGCTCAGCCTCAATTAGGAGGTTGTGTAACAGAGTCATTAGCTATGGTTGCAGAAGGTAGCTCTTGTTTTCTGATAACACCCTGGTAGGGAAACTAGTCCTTGACACTTTGGTATACTCCTCCATACAGTGAGACATGGGAAACTCCGACAAGGAAGACCATGGAATGCCTCTACATTCTGATGAATGCAGCACAGGCCATTTTGCACAACTACAGTAGGAGATTGAAAGTGCAATACGATTACTGATACCTTGCTCCCCAACACCAACATTATCCAAGAAGGACATCAATGCTTTTAAAAGAGCATGTTAGCGAGTATTTAACAATTCAAGGTCAGAGAAAATCAGTTCCATTCCCTTTCGCAGGCAATGGGATCTGTTTGTCTTTGTGAAATGTGGCCTACAGCTGCAACTTTTAAGGTCACCTGTGTTTAATTACTACTGCTTCACAGAGATGACAACCTTTAATCTGCAATGACCAATGACATGGTTAAGATTGCTTGCGACCAGGTTTTATGCCACACAGCTGGACATCTCAAGCATTTCACATGCAAGGTAACATGATCACAAATAACTTCAATCTGTACCGTGATAGTGCTTAATTCATTCAATTTCCCCTTGAAGGGCTTCACATTATTCACAAGTAGAGTTTGCATATTCAGACAAAAAAACTTACTCCATCCACTCTGGGTATGGCTGTAGCCATTTTCCATTTCCAGCATGCATTGCAATTCATATGAGTATGGAAGGCAACACAGATTGCGCTTAGCAGAGTGAGTCGCAGACTCAGCCTAGCAATCAAGGACATCATCCCCACACCCTTTACTTTTCAATTTTTTTTAACCTACTTTTCTAATCAACCTGTTCAGAAACGTTATTACAAACCTCTGGAGCAGGTGGCACTTGGAACCCGGGCCTCCGGGTGCAAGGGTAGGATCACTACCACTGCACCACAAGAGGGCCCCTTCCCCGTTTATATGTTGTGTTTCGACCCTTTACAATTATTATCCTCTCAGCATTCCAGCACACTGCCTCCAATCACCAGAATTGACTTCCCCAACTTCCCTAACAATTTTGATACAGCTCCTGTTACACCTCCACCCTAACTTTAATTCAGCTAACCCCAGGGCTGACTATGGCCTACCCCTTGGATGACCTGAATGGACAACCCTGATTGATGAGTGACCAGATCTCTGACTGATGTGGAAGTGTTGGACTGGGGTGGCACAAAGTCAGAAGTCATGATATTAGGTTATAGTCCAATAGCTTTATTTGAAATCATAAGCTTTCAGAGTGCTGCTCCTTCGTCAGGTGAAGTGATGGGTGGACACCAACTGATGAAGGAGCTGTGCTCTGAAAGCTTGTGATTTCAAATAAACCTGTTGGACTATAACCTCTTGTCACGTGACTTCTGACTATATCACTGACTGATATCTGTGCACCTCTTTGACTGCCTAACCACAACTTTCCAGACTGGTTGCACTGGATCTGCAGGACTGACTATAGCCCATTCTTCAGACTATATTGATATGGACTCTATGACACTGGGTGTCCCAAGAGGCCGACTAACTTTGTCTAACTTCCTGGATTGAAATCAGATGCTGCCCTTGACTTACTGTGCTACCATGACATGACTGAACACTGTCTCCCTTGTCCTGACAATTAAGGGACACTCCCTTGACAGACTTTGAGACATGGCTGTTTGATTGAAGCACATGTGTGTTTGCTACACATTGCTGGCACATGAGGTTGACATAGTACAGTGCCATACAACATGTCCAGCTCCTGACTGATCACTGTTGACAACTATGGCAAGCTGCCTGGCTTTGTGTCTGTGCTAAACAGCAAGTCAAGACAGAAGTACTGTTAGTCTTTAAGATCTGGTTTAGAGGTGAAAGCACAAAAGGGCAAGGCAATGGAAGGCAAGGCATTGATGCTGTGAGCACTCAAGTAGATGCAAAGTGAGTGAGCGTTGAGAACTAGTGAGGAGATCTGAAAAGCACTTGTTGAACCTCTGAGTTGGGTGTCTGTCCTTGGGGGTAGAGTGTTTTGGGAGCAGTATTCCAATGAAAGTCTTCAGTAAGCTCCGAAGTGCAGAGTCGTATTCTAAGTGGCAGAGATGAGGCTTGAATGTGGTCGGTGCCAACATGGCGTGGACGGAGGATGCAGACAGTCACTACCTTTGGAGTCTGCCTTAAGATGTTGGGGGCTGCTAATCAAGGTGGAAACTGGGAGGAGCAAACAGCAAGCTGGAATGCCCAGATAGTTACTCTGTCTTTCAGGTTGGGAACTGTCACCATCTAGTTTGTACCTGTGAGTGAGAGAATCAGAAACTGCATGTTGATAGGGTGACAATAGGTCGTAATGACATACTAATGCATATAAATAGATACACACGGATTTTTGCCACTTACTAGTGAGATTCTCATCTTGTTTGGTTGGAGAATTGGACTTTTTCTTCTCAATGTCAAGAATTTCACCCTATTTTTCCAACTGACTTGCCAATGCCTATAATGGCTAGGATGGTTAGATTAGGTTAATGGAATAATTGTTGGAACTCATATCAAACAAAAGTAATTCACTAAACAGTTTAATTTTAAAAAAAGAACGAGCTGCACAAACCTTTGATTAGCGTGGAATTCAAATCTATAAAGACAGGCTTAAACATAGTTGACCACATACTTACTTCATAGAATATTATCCTACTTAGACTTGTGGTTTTGAAACTGAAAATATTTTAAACACAAGCTCTCTTGCAATTTCACCCCTTACAACTGTAGAATTATTTGGTTGAGTTTATTGTGTTTGCTGTCACTGCAATAGCAAAAGGCATATTCACCACCCACACAGTCATAGAGTCTGTGATGTCACTGATAGCGAGACGTAGGTAGTTGATTGCATCAAAGAATAACAATTTGGATGTCTCTTGATTACTACTGTGCTCTCAACAGCTCACTACTTCACTTGTCATTTTTCTTGCTATCTATTCACTTCCCACTCACTGCTCAAACCTGAGTCATAAAGTCATAGAATCATAGA